AAATTAAAAACAAATTAATACAAAAACATTTATTTAGAGCCTTTTCCAGGCAATTACAGTCGAAAATATCACCCTTAGGTTTTACCTAAATCTAAAAAACCTTATAAGTAGTTGGTCAATGGTATTTTATGTTTAGATAATTTCTAAGCGTCAGCGAGAAAAAGTTTTATTATATTTCGCATTGTTTACAAATTATCTAAAGAAACATTGCATTGAAATTTGAAAACTGGGCAAAAAATACATACTACAGTTAGATTGAGAATGTCAATAATAAAAAACAAAAATATTTTACATATATTTTATGTTAATCCATGTTATACCATGTTATTGTTGGTATTTCCTAGTGACTTTTATTTAAAATTTAATTAGAAATTTGTTATTGTTTGACAATATTCTATATTATCTTTCTGACTACCATATTTTGGAATGAAATTGTTCTAATGGGGCCAGATTGCTCATGAACATAGTTATAGATTTCTGTCTAGAAAAAAGGTTAGTTTAGAGTTTCCGTCACTGTTTTATTCTCAGAAAAAAGATAACTGAAAGAGAGAAAATAGAAAAATATTGTTATTTTACTATATTTGTATAATTAGCAATCGTGTAGACTAGGTAGTCATTATCGAAAAACTATTAAATACTTCACTTATTTAGCTGCAGTTAATTAGTGATTTTAAAGTTGTGAGTGGAGTGAGATCGGTAGAAATTAACAGAAAGTGTTTGGCAGTTGGTCCAACCTTGAGGTTTAGGCTTTATATAAAATTTATCGTGAAAACTGCTTTAGCAAATTTACGAAAAAAAAAAAAAAATTCAGATGATGAATAAAAGAGCTGCACAGGATAGATACTATAACGGATTATTATGCACATACAAATTGTACAATGAATAGATTTAACAAATTACGGTACATGACAACACAAACATTTTATCTATAAGATAAAGAATGCAAAATTAAAAAATTAACATAAACATTATTAAAAATAAAATTTCAAAAATAATATATTCCTTATGGTATGTACGGCCCAGTACGATTTTTTGAAGTGCACGAACTTGGAACAGTAAATAAAAAAATCCTTATCTATGCAACATTTAAATAAACGTAATATTAAAAGTATGAGTCTCTATAAATAACATTATGTGTAATAAACATATTCTTACGCAACAGAATCGTTACGTAAAGATACAATCACAATAAAATGGTAAAATGCTACAATGAGTTAATAAAAATGGCAAAAAAGAGCTATAAAAGGTAGTTTTTGGTGTATATGGCTTTCACAGCAAGTATTGAGTACATTGCAGATTGTTTTGTGATAATTGTTAAAAAAACCTTGTATATTAAATCGAAATTTCTAAGGTTTTTGCTAGTAGCGCTAGCGTAAATTACTAATAGACCAGACGTGATTTATTTAGGCTTGGTTGTAGCAAGTCGGATCTTGGTCTCTCTTCATAATCGGCGATTACAGACAAGTAAGCGCGAGCACGACTGTGTAGAGGGCATACCCGGCTATACTTGTCCATCATTGTCTATGATCGCTTACAACCTGTTAATTGTCGATTTTTCGGAGATCCATAAAAGGGAATAGAAAGTACAATCAAAAGAGTGAACAAGAAAACAAAATGGACGAACGGCAAAAGATTCGTGAGCACTGGAATTAACATTGTTCCAGTGATTGTTCACTGGAGTTAACATAGTTTCATAGACCCACGAGAAATAGAAGACAGAGTCCTAGAGTTGGAAAACATCATCCAACATGCACTCAGAAACAGCACTACAGAAAAGGAAGTAGAAATGCACACGGGAAGATTTAAGCATATACCACAAGAAATAAAAGACTTGATAAGGGAAAAGAACAGAGCAAAGCAGACAGCAAGAAGGACAAGGAACCAGATAGGCAAAAATAGAGCAAATAGGCTAAACAGATAGGTCAAAACAGCACTACAATAACACCGTAGTGAAAGCTGGGAAAACCACATAAGAGACATGGAGGAGCAAGGACCAAATATGCTAAATATTTGGAGGCTTTTGAGAAATGACAGAAAGCCAATCCCTTCATTACATGGAGAAAACGGAATAGTCTACACCACAGTGGAAAAAGCAGAGGTAATGAGGAACACTCTCGAGAGAAAGTGTACATTAAATTACAACCCAGACGAGGACATCGACTTCATAGAAGAAGTCGAAAAACAAAGAGAAAGACCCGAAAACTAAAACAAAATCATCCCTCCTACATCAAGGGAAGAAGACCAGACCAGGAAGAAGACGCAACTCTTGGTTAAAAACCTACGGCAATGGACGAACATGACCTCCATAGAACTATTCAGGGCTGCTACAAATAAGATTAAATGGGCAAATGTAATGGCCAACGTCCTTAAGGATAAGGTACCGTAAGAAGAAGACATCAAGGGAGGAGCTAAACGAGCTAATTAAAAACAGCTCGCCGAAAAAGGCACTTGGTTCCGATGAAATAACGAACAGGGCTCTAAACTACTTACCAGCGAGTGCCATAGTACATCTAATAAATATAATCAACGCAATGCTAAGATTCAAGAAATTCCCAAACAGATGGAGAGAGTCCAAACAGCCCATGTCATAATGTTACCAAAGCCCGGAAAAGACAGCACATTCCCGCAAAAACACAGGCCAATAATCTTACTACTTGTAATAATCAAGATTGTAGGGAGAATAATACTCAGCAGACTCAAAGCTGAAACAGACAGACTAGACCTAATACCCGAAGCCCAATTCGGTTTTAGATCAAAACACTCTAGTGAATTACAAGTACTCAGATTAACAGAGTACATAGCAGCTGGATTTAATGATAAAAAATTCACAGGAGCTGTCTTTCTAGATGTAAGCAAAGTCACAAAATGAGAAGATACGGTTATAGTGGAGCAATGACTTACAATTATAACATTCCAAATTCCACAAAGACCGACGAGAAGTTTTGACAAATTACACAAAAAGCCTTACGTACAACCACCAGAAGAATCGAAGCCAAAATGTCTATATACCCAAGACAATATGGATTCGACTAAAGGAGATCTGTCATTTGGATGAAGATGTCGTGTCAGTTCAAAGAACTCTGGGAGCAATTGGGAGGTGTGGTGTGGAGGATTGGGACTGTGGATAAAAAAAGAATCGAAAAACGTAATATTTTTTTTCGATTTGTAAAAAGTATCTTTGTTTGGAACGTGTGAATCCAATTTGCAATGACTGTAACAATATTCTGGCTTAATTTTATTATGTTTTTTGAAATCTCTTATATGTTTTTATGATAAGTCTTAGTGAAATAATGTTTTATTTTTGTTTAAGATAGTTCTTGAAGACTGACATGTTATGTTCTAATTTTAAATTAATTGTAATGTGTTTAGTGAAAAACAGAATAAATCAAACTATTACAAAAATTGTGGACTATTTTTTGTGCTACATAAATACAGTAAAACCTCCCTTAAAAGAAACTTCGTTTAACTGAAACGGCTGACAGTTTCAACCATTTCGTTAATAAAAAGTAAATTTAATTTTTATCGCAAAACGTAAACAATTCCATTAATTTCACTCACTGATTGATGCCTATGTGTGTTGGGAAATCAAAAAAACCAAGAGCTTTAAAACATATTTCCGAAAAAGCACTTCCATTTTTTTATAGAAGCCAAAATACTCATGGATGTCCACCACTTTAATTTCAGAATAATTCTAAAATGAATTCGTACCTTTTTAAAATCAAAAAACCTTCCCATCAAAGTCATTCCACTAATGTCACTAGCTTAATTCAGACGTTAGACCAGGGAGTAATAGAGAGATTCAAGAGACATTATAGAGGAGCATTCTTAAGGAGCAGTTATTACAGGAGACAAATGAATCCAAATGTGTTCAATTTTCAAATCTTTAACAATGAAACATGTTGTTTATTGGTGTGTTCAGTCGTGGGCCAAGATCAAATCTTCAACTTTGAAAAAATGCTGGAACAAACTTTTTGACGGGATTTTGATTGTCGATCCTGAAGAAGAAAATGGTAAAGAAACGACAGAACGAAACGAAAACGCAAAAGAAAATAGATTTCTTTAAAAAAGCGTTTTAAACTTGTTCATTTTTCTTAATTTTATTACTTTATTCTGTATTTTTTTATTAGAAAACATTAGGAAATCACCTCTTAGTATTTTTTAATACCAATACTTTGACCAAGAATACTATAAAAAAAATGCTATTTTTAACTGAAATTCTTGTTATCCGAAACGGCCTCCCCCAATGATTTCGGTTAACGGAGGTTTTACTGTAAACATTTAAAATAAACAAAATATGTCATTAATAATAAATAATTAAAAAAAAACTACAAACAATAAATTATTTTATTGAAATTTAAACAAAATGCATCCAGAGGATTATTTTTATGACCGGTCTACTAGACCGTGTGCGACTACTGATACACAAAATTAAACTGCGTATACTGAAAGGTTAATAATCTGAAATTCTTTTGTTGTGTCGACTTCTTTAACTGCTATTCTATATCCCAATTTGTATTTGTCTTAAATCATCGCTTTTGTTGTTCATATGTTCACATTTGTTCCTTGCTCTTGATGTAGCTTCCGAGTGAGATCGAACACTTCTATCAAATTTATAAAACGATATTTCGATAACAATATACTAAAAGGTTTATATTAGATTGTAGAATATGCAGACAATGATTACAGTTAAGTCTTTGTAGATTAAGCCTAGCAATGATAAGAAAAATTTCAAAGGTTTAAGTATTGAAGATTTATTTTTTGATTTTCATCTCATAATAAATAAATGTCCAGACTTTACAGTTAATCAGATAATAGAGTACTAACTTATCGTCAAAAAAAAACTTTAATATACAAGGTTTTTTGGTACCTTCAGTACTTTATGGACGGCAATCTATTAATCTATATGGCAGTTTAACAAACCTTTTATACCATCACTCTCTTCTAAACGCACATCACATTTTTTTATAATACAATCGCCACTGTTTTTAAACTTCAGGCACTTAAGCGTACTTATCGGAATCCTCCAGATCCAGCAGCGGCTTCTTCATAGAGCTCCTCTCCTCGTAGTCTTGAGCGATGCCTACGAAAATTTCCTTGAAGACCAAAGGATCGACGTTTTTGGACAAATACACCAAAAACAGCCAGTCGGAGTAGCTGGGCGTTCTGGTAACGTTCAATACACGCCACGGGTTCAGCTTTCCGGGACAGGAGCTCGAAAAGATCATTCGGTTGAAGCCTCTGCTTCTGGCGTGTAGAATATATGTTATAAGTCTCCAGATTAGACCTAAGACGGAGCAAATGAAGAGGAAGATGAACCAAAACCAAACGGCGGTGTAGATTTTGTCGTTGATAATGTTGAGGGCCATTACACACATGGCGTCGTGGTATTGGATGGAGCCAGAGGGACCGTATTTGTGGAAGGTGCATTTGGTTATCTGAAATAAAAAGAAATCGCTCATGTTTTTTTTTAAATCTATTATGATAAATTCAATAAAAAATCTAGAGAAATTTGTAGCAATTCATATTAATAGTTATAATAAAGAAAGACAATTAATAGAATAGAATAAAATTTGCAAAAGTCAAAAAAATAACAATAACAATTTAAAATTTACTAAAATTACACAAATCTTCAATATCACAAAATACGAGATAAGATACATCAAAGATTGAATTTATGATGAAGTAGTCATGATTAGGTCTTGCTGGAAATACATGTAGATGTTTACGAATTAAGCAAACAGTTTGTAGAATATATAAAGAGGGAAGAGCCAAAATCCCGTGATTTTTAAAGTAGCTTCTGCAATGTGTTATTCTACTGAGACCAAAAAGATACCATACTTTTTTTGTAGTTTAAAAATAACGTCAGATTAGGCAGCTGTACTATAATAGAACCCCAAAATGGAAGGCCATATCGAAGATGAGACTTGAACAAAGAAAAATGTGTTATTTTGGAATATGCTAAATTGATTTCCTTCGAAACAGATCTTATTGCATAGGAGGTTGAGGACATGGAGGGACAATTTAAGGTTGCTGTCAGTAAAAATACAAAGAAATTTTACAGAATTAACGATACTGATCTGGCTGTTATTAAGAAGCAAGAGTTGAAGAGCTCCTTTATAGGATAATGCTACTGTCTTATCCACGTTAAAAGAGAGTAAATTAGAGTCGGACCAGGTTTTGATTTTCAGTAGATCAGATGTTATAATTGCATGAAGAGTTGTAATATTAGAGTTCCTCCAGGTAATACTGTTATCATCAGCAAAAAAACTTTTCCATGGATTTTTAAGTTAGTGATATCATTTACAAAGATAAGAAAAAGTAGAGAACCCAATACTGAACCTTGTGGTAGTCCACATACAATGCTGTTGTAACTAGAGTCAGTATCATTTGCTCTAACAAGTTGTTTCCTATACCTCGAATTCCGTAATAATTTAGTTTTTTTTATCAAAAAGTCGTGATTTACACAACCAAAAGCTTTGAGATAGTCACAAGAAACAGTAGCAGTATAAAGATTATTGTTTAGTGCTTGATAGACCTCATATTTTGTTATAGGAGAGTAATTTGTAGAAAGAATAATTTGTAGAAAGAATTTGTAGAGCTGAACTTGGACGATCATACCTAGCAATTGTGGTATATTTTCAAGCCAGTGCTCGATAACCACAACTATCGGGGGCAATCCTAATTCCTCTAGAAACAAAAATAATTCATCTGTTTTATATCTTATACAACAAATATTAATCAGAACCATGTTAAAGTTGTCACCACTAAATAATTTGAGTGTTCTAGTCCCACAGAACAGATCATATTGTTTAAAAATTTTGTTTTTTTAGAAGCAACGGAATAGTAGTTTCGGTGACTTTCCCCTGATTTTTGGAGGTGAATAATTCTTTTCAAAGTGAGAAAGGACCTAAAAGCAGCAAGATCAGCTTCCACCTCAGTTGGATCAATTCTAGAAGGATTTTTCGTAGATCTTCAGTCTTGGTGGGAAGTTCTTCGGAAGCCAAAAAGAGTTTAATGCTTGTGGTGAATCTTTCGTAACTTACTGAAGCAGGTTTGTCGTGTAGAGAAGCGAGATATAATTTAATGGCTTTCAAGATATCCTGTTCCCTTAATCTTGCTAGAAGATATTGACTGTTCGAGTTATTGGTTAATCTAACTCTTGGTGGGGTCAAAAGATCCAGATTTATCGAAGGTTCCAAATGTCCTTCTTAATAAAGTTATTATGAGAATGGAAAGCATTCTTAGATTTGAAAATTTCGATGGTCTGCTTGTCTGTGACTATTTTTGTGTTTCCACTTTACTTGTACAGATATGATATGAAATTTATTTCCTTGTTAATAAAATGTCCTGGTCTAGAAGTGTCCAAATTTCTAAGCCAAAACATATACTCTCTTATTAATAAACACAGACTAACCTTGGACTAACATTAGTCCCAGGACTACACCAATAACATTTATTTTTCGTATTAATAAACAGCGACTAAGGACAGACTAAGTAAATCCTTCGCTAGTCTCGGACTAACATTTAATCCGAGGTAGTGGCAGGTTTAGAGAGTGACTAACTTGACATTGAGTTGAATTTCGTTTTGGTATTCATAACCTGAATTATTTTTGATTATTTATACATTATTTAATAATGGAAGATTATTTTATCAATGACTTAAGATTAATATAACAACTTAATGACCATACAAATCAACGAAATAATATTCATCTAAGACATATATTAAAATATATAAAATTAGAAAAAATCCTCTAGAAGAATTAGAAGAAAATGAATTCAAGTGCAAATATCGCTTTTCAAAAGCTACAGCAGTTTTTATAATAGATATGCTAAGAGATTATTTATCTGGTGATTCCAGAGGTGGACATATACCTCCTCATTTAAATGTTTTAAAAAGTTAAAAAATAATATAAAATATAAACAAACTTTCTCAGAACACAGTCCAACTAAAAATTAACTCCACGTGCTCCAACTTATGCTAACTGTCAAATTCTCAATTATTTTTCTTCTTTTTCACAAAATTCTCTCGATTTTTCTTCTTTTTTGCAATGGTTGCCAACATAAACTTGTTGTACCTAGGACTAAGGAAGGTTTAGTTAGTCTGAGCTTAGTCCATGTTTATTAATAACATTCTAAAAATGAAGTTAGTACTCGCTTAATCTGGGAGTAACTAGTCCGAGACTAACTTCAGACTAAGCAATTTTTATTAATAAGACTGTAAATTTTTATAAATTTTTTATACTCCAATTCAGATTTTTTCTAAAACTGTATATTATTGTGGTGTTCCTTCTTATAAAGAAATCCTCTCGATTAATCCTTCCCTCGAATACAAACGCCAATTCGCGATAAATAAATGAGTGTTCAGCTCGATATTTATTAGACAGTTTGTTTCTCATTTACCCAATTGGTTGGCAGTTATAATACTCCGTATAAATTGCGGATTTTTTACCCATCTACATCTCCTATTTATGCGCTGCAGACAGACTGCATGTACCTTTACCAGACGGTAATAACTTCGCAAAGAGAAATGGACGATGTAGCTCCAAGAGACGTGCGTGGAATACCTACAACGAGAAGATTGTACATACAAACACTAATGGCCGATTAGGGGGTAAACCGTTACTTTGAATTGCTTTTGAACGTGTTTAATTACGATAATGTGTAGAAGAAGAAGAAGATTTAGGAGTTAGCGGTTACATAACCATTCAGCAACGAAAATAATTAATTGAGGAAATAATAAAAAAACGTGCCAGGATTACCTAAAGGTTTTAGAAATTAAATAGTTCAAAAATCTAGGATCTGAGATAAAAACATCAGAGGACCATTAAAACACAGCAAAATGTAGAACAGTTTTATAAAGGGTACCACCCCCATTAAGGCTAAGCGCAATTTTAGCCCGCTACAAAAAAAAGCTGTCAAAGCTTTACTTATTTTAACTGTCAAAATTTAATTCGTGAAAATTGACAGGCAACATACAGTCCAAAATACTGCAGCAAAACTTTCTCTCTTATGATATTATCTCTCTCTTCAATCCTGACCCCCCAGAGGGAGTGTAGTGGTCGACGTGATGTCGTGTATTGTCCGTCTCCAGAGATCTCTGTCTCTGGTCATTTCTTTTAATTCATGCATAGGTCTTTGGCATATTCCTGTAATTTGATCTATCCATCTTGTTGGGGATCTTCCTCGTGATTTTCTGCCTTCTACATTTCCTTGTATTATGAGTCTTTCCATGTTTTCTGTGTTTGCTATCATAACATGCCCAAAAATATTTTAATTGTTGGAGATGGACTTTACTAGAGAGTCGTTGGCTAACTTTTAGCTCTCTTAAAATTGAATTATTTGTTCTACGGTCGGTCCAAGGAATTCGTAACATTCGTCTCCAACAGAACATTTCAGTGGCGTCTATCTTTCTTCTCTCCGATTGTCTCAGAGTCAAGATTCATATCCGTAGGTCAGTATTGGGAATATTAAGCAGTTGATCAACCTCATTTTTATCGCTCTTGAAATGCTCGCTTATGATATTATATAGGATTAAAAATAAGAATTAGTCCAATTTGTCTATTTTTATAGACCCGTAGGTTAATATATAACCTAAAAATGCATTTTTTTAAAGCATGTTACATTTTTTTGACGTGGTTGAAAGTCCAATTTTTTTTAGTTTGTGTATTGAATGTAGATTTTTTTGGGATTTTTTTTCTATTTAATGGACTTTAAAATAGATCTAATCAAGGTTGTCATATAAATTTTAAATTAAATGAGACCTTTAGTGCAGTCAAAAATGAGCGAAACACCTTTAAACCCCCAAAAATAATATTTTCACGGTTTTTAAGGGTTTTGGAGGGGTTAATCACATTTTTTGATATCGACACAACCTAAATGAGTTGACATCAAGATTCTTATGAAAAAACTAGAGGCACTAGGAATTCATGGATCCCTGCTTGAGTGGTTGGAGAGCTACCTGACAGATAGGCTCCAGGTTGTAAAATTCAAGAAGTGTCTTTCTAAAGAGATTTTGGTTAGGTCTGGCGTCCCACAGGGTGGTCATTTATCGACTATTCTTTTATTTGTTTCATAAATGACATTTTAGAAATCTTTGAAATTGTGTTATTTTGTTGTATGCTGATGATTTGAAAGTTTTTAGAATTATTAAGGATGTTAGAGACTGTGTAAAAATGCAAAAAGATGTAACCAATTTTTCACAATGGTGTACAAAGAATGACCTTTCACTTAATATCGATAAATGTAAAATAATGCGCTTTTTTTAGAAACTCACAACCTATCTGTTTTAATTACTCTATAAATAATATATTTCTGGAACCAACAAACTCTTTCAAAGATTTAGGTGTAGTTTTTGATCCCACTTTATGTTTCAAAAATCACTGTAATTTTATTTGTAATAAAGCTTTTAAATTACTTGGATTTTTGAAAAGAACCTTGTCAGAATTCAATAACCTAGATTGTTTTAAAAGTGTGTATTGTTTTATGGTTAGATCAGTTCTGGAATATTCCAGCACTATTAGGTCTCCTCTATATAAATGTCATATTGAAAGTATTGAGAAAGTTCAGAAAAAAATTTTGCGCTTTGTAGGCTATAAATTAGGGATTTCTTCAGAAGATATAGTGTATTGTGACATTTAAAATTACTTAATATACCAACATAAAATCGTCGTTTAATGCTAAATTTGGTTTTTCTTTTCAAGATTGTAAACGAAATGATAGATTCGCCTCAAATTTTGCAGAGAATAGGTCTTAGGGTTCCTCAAAGGTGCACAAGATCCAAGGACGTTTTTCACTTAGAATTCCAACAAACAAACTATTGTCTAAATAGACCTATAAGACGAATGTGTCAATCTGGAAATGGTTTAGATGTAGGCTTTTTTCTAGCTCTGAATAGTTTTCGAAAAAAGCTGAAAAAATCCTATTAAAATACAATGTAGGCTGTCACTGTAAACTGTCATTTAGGTATTTATTCTATTTATTTGTCTTGTGTAAATTGTATGTAATTATTATTGAATTCTAAAACTGTTAATATGATACGATTTATTTAATGATTGTAATTATTGTAATTTGTATAACCGTAAATAAACTATTTATTTATTTATTTATTTAAATCAATCTTCTCATATTTTTACTTTTTATGTAACTAAAATTGCGCTGAGCCCTAGTTTAAAATCACATAGAACGAAAAAAAAAATGAAAAAAAATTAATTCTTGGATTGAGGCGGGTACCCTTCCTAATATAGACCAAAAATATAATATTATCTGTGTGTACTAATTATGAATTAAAAACAGAAAAAAAAATTGCGTCTTGTATATTCAAAACAGGAGCTTTGTGCAGAAGTTACTATCGATGTAAGTGATCCAAGTGGTAACCCCTTGAGATACGGCTCTGAAAATGTTAAGTCTGAAAAATTGCATGATTGTCATGATGTGTAGGTATTAAAATTCCAACGTGACGACAAGAAATGATCTAGAACGCCCCTAGCCCTTGCACTCGTTATTTCTGTGAGAATTTCATTTCTCAAAGAGTTTCTTCTTCTTGGTATTGACTATTGTCGGTAGCAACATGACAAATTTGAGGTTAGGACAACAATTATCATTTGTTTTGAGGTATACTCGTAAAAAGACTTATGGAGACACGAAGAGAACTTAGGAACAAAAACGATACGAATGCACGCGTACTACAACAACCTAATAAAAGATATTAATATAGTAGTGAGAAAGGATGTACGACAATATAACACAAAAAAGATTACAACGGTTGTCGAGGAAAATAAAAAGTTAAAGGAGCTGAAGAGATGTTAAGCTCTAGGTAAGAAGAATATTGTTAAGCTCGCAAATCAAAATGGAAAAGTGACAAGAGATAAAGATAGGATAATTAAGGTAGTTGCAGAATTTTACACAGAATTATATAGAGAAAGGGGTAAGAAAGACGGCACTCGTTATTGAAGCAGTTAAAGCAGGAGGAAAACATTGACACAATTATATAACTTATGCCTTGCAAAAGAGGTTACATACACCATCTCAGTGGAATAACGCTGTTATAGTAGTCATGCATAAAAAGGGAGATATAACAGAGCTAAAGAACTATAGACCTATTAGCTTGTTATCTCACGTTTATAAGCTGTTTATGAAGATTATAACTAATAGATTGACATCAAAACTAGACCTCTATCAACCTTGCGAGCAAGCAGGATTTAGAGCTGGATACGGAACAAATGATCATTTTCAAATCATTAAGTCTTTAATTGAAAAAACCATTGAATATAATAGACTCCTGATACTTGCCTTTGTCGACTTTGAAAAAAGCGCTTGATATGGTGAATCAAAGTGAAATGCTCCAAGCCCTAACACAATATAGAATAGATCACCGATACATATCTCTCATCAGATACATCTATCAGCATGCTACAGCCTGTGTAAGACTTAATGAAGATACTGGAACTTTTCGTATTGAAAGAGGCGTTCGACAATGAGACAACATGTCTTTTAAATTATTTACAGCTTTGCTAGAATACACTTGTAAAACAATAGATTGGAACGAAAAGGCATCAATGTAGATGGAAAATTTTTAAATAACCTTAAATTTGCAGATGATATCGTTTCTTATTGCAGACAGCTTTGATCAGGCACAGATAATGCTCCAAAAACTTCATGCTGCCACAAAAAGAGTTGGTCTTAAAATAAATTTTTCGAAAACACAATTTATGACAAATTTAGTCCACAACAAAAACATCTCAGTAGAAGACAAATATATTAAGCCAGTTGACTCTTATAAATACTTGGGTCATGAGATCAGAATAAGTCGAGACAACCAAACACTCGAGCTGAAAAGAAGCATAAACCTCGCTTGGGCTGCATTTGGAAAGATAAAGGATATTTTTAGGTCTAAGATTCCAATGTGTCTGAACAGAAAAGTATTTAATCAGTGTATTTTGCCAGTGATGACCTACGGCGCAGAAACCCTAACCACTTACAAGAACAACAGTGAGTAAACTACAAGTTGCAAAAAGGGCCATGGAGAGAACAATGTTAGGGACTTCTCTACGTAATAGAATACCGAATGCTACCATACGCAAAATATCAGTAGCAGCAAACGTTATTGAAAGGATAACAACACTAAAGTGGAACTGGGCAAGTCATGTAGCAAGATCAGTTGATGACCGTGGACAAAAAGAATTTGGAATGGAGACACCGAATACAAGCTAACAGAAATAAAGGTCGACCCCGAACGAGATGGACAGATGACATAAAAAGAGTGACTACAAATTGGATTCAGAGATGGCGCAAAATCGGACTAAGTGGAAAAGCATACGAGAGGCCTATGTTCAGCAGTGGACGTTAGAGGCTAGTTGATGATGATGATACTTGTAGAAAGGATTTTATTAAAACTTATTTAAAAGCATTGTAAAAAGTAATATTTTAAGCGAAACAAGAAAAATACAAATATTTCTCCATCTCCACCCTATATACTCTTTACGGCACTATACACTTTATAAGTGATTCATATCCAGTGCGCTTCTTCTTGAAGACAACTTATAAATAATGACCTTTCAGAGGGTTGGTAATATACGACCTGACCAATCTTTTAGACATTTTGTGAAACTAACAAATGACATACAAGGTTTTACATTTTAATGGGAAGTACCACACAAAATGTTTTTAACAGAAAAAGTGGCGTCGGTGGTTGTCTAGAATAAGTGGAATTTTTAGACAGTGTAGGGCCGGGTAAAACAATAATGATTTTATTATAAAACGATAAATAATTATTATCTTTATATATAATCAAAATATCAAAATATATATTGTTTATTAGTGATGCCATCAATTTCTATTTTACATCTTATTGGTTCTTTGCCAACTACTATTGTTTTAGTTTTATGAGATGAGATTGGCATATTAAATTCGTTTGCTCTTATGATAAATCTGTGGATCAGTCTTTGCAGACTATCTTCTTCTTGGGCTATCAATATTGTGTCGTCTACGTATGTCGTCTGTCATCCAGTTATCCAGTTATTTACTCTTACATGTGCTCTTACATCCAAGATTTGAGAGGACTGTAACTCTCTATTTGACAGAATATAGTCTATCATAGATCTTTGTAATCTACTGTTTTCAAAAGTACATTTGCATTTTTCTTTGTGAGGGAAAATGTATTATTAAATACTATCTCTTTTATGCTGCAGAGGCCCGTCAGAAAGTCTCAGTTTTATATAAATGTTAAGTAGCTAAAAAGAAAGAATCACGAAACCTTTTTTTTGTCACCTTTACATGGTGCAAAGGTGACAAAAAATAGACAAAAGAGGGCAATGGGAAAAGTACCAGAGGTGTATGTGAATGGAGTTTATATGGAAGCAGATGAAAAAAAAGTAGTTAATATAGAAAATATAATAAAAACAATTTAGTAAATAAGTATCTCTTACCTTTGGGAAAACTTCATCCAAAATATCTACGCTGGAATCCAAACCATTGCGCCAAACCGTAGATCCTAATCTAAGAAATTTACCTCCCAAAAATCTGTTTGTGATGGCAATTTGTATGATGATATGGATGAAATTGATGACTTCGACAAGCATCAATTTCAGTGCCCAGTTTTTGTTGACATAAACGCCGTCTTGGAAGAGTTGTCTGACTTGTTGTATCTTTTTTTCTCTAGAGTACAAACATTTTTGGTTTATACATAGGTTTAGTATTTAAAAATAGTTTAAAATAAAAGAGAATATGCACTATATGAAGTAGTATCTACCTGATTATTTGGTTTCTTTAAAGCGGTTTCAATGGAGGAATCTTTGATATGAAGAGAAGAAAACTTTATCTAAAATCGAGAAAAGGAAGGTGTGGAATAAGATGATCAGAAAAGATTACGGATGATCTAAAAGAGAAGCAAATTAATTGGAAAGCAAAATTAATTGGTTGGTTGGCACATAGTACATAGGTTGTCAGATTCTTTTAATAATTATAGAATACATTCAATTATATATAAAACAGACTCAGTGTAAATATACAAAATATTAAGAGTATAGTAGGAAATTTCAAAACTTTCAATAAATCTTCTATATAATAATATGGAATGTTGATTTTAAATTCTGACAATTTCGTGATACTTCTTGGATATGTTTTTCTAGGTACCTATCAGGTAGGAATAAATAATTCTGTATTCTTGATAAGAAGTATCAAGTATATTAATTTATCTAGAGTGTGTAATATACCAGGGATTTTTTTCGTGATAACCCATCAGGCAAACGACACTTGTTTTGAGTACTATGGATTTCTGTAACAAGAACTTATATGTTTCATGCAGTTGATTTTTTGGACTTTGGAAAAACGGTAAATTTTCACTGCTTTTGTCTATCAGCAAAAAGTGAAGCATTCGAAACAAATTTAAGACAACCGACTTTATGATAAAACCGAAATTTCTGACTTATTTTGCAACTTTCTTCTTCTTCTTTACGTGTCATCTCCGCGACGGAGGTTGCCTAACATGCCCCAGGTATTGCAGCTTTTGTGTCTTGATGGTTTCCAATATTTCCATTCTTTTGTTGACTCTTCATCTTCATCAGAAGATAGAAACATTTAAGAAACTCCATTTTGAAGGTTTTTATACTTATACTTTGTAATAGACTTTAAATTTGATTCAAATACTTCACTTCTTGCTGATAGACAAAAAACAGTGAAAGGGGTCTTAATAGAAATAACATTGGAAACAAAGCTATAAATACTTTAGACATACATACATTAGGTATCTTTCAAACCTCAGAAGTCTTTGATAATATGGGTCTTTGATAATAAGGTATCATTTACTCGCAGTAAATGCAGAGAATGTATTCCTTGGTGTAGATCACACTATCAAAAAGATTATCAATAATATGCTTTGGATTAACTATAAAATTGAAGACAACTTGAATCTTATCAATCAAGAGAAACGATATGATTCCTAAAATTTTACGGAATTATAAACCTTCTCCAACTGTATAGAAATCATAATGGAAAAACGATCGAATACAACAAACCTCTTTTGCTATATTCCTGATGAAAATATTTCAGTATACGAACCTACCATTAATATATACTATTATAATCACTTACCTATCTGATTTGGACGGAATTTTGTTCTCCCCAACTTGAACCTCTTTCTCTTGCAAAGAAAACGCCGCATACCTCAAGCTATCTACCAAGTATCTTAATCTTCTTCCTAAAGACATTTATATACATATAATTTACAGTAACAATTTGTGTACTATCAATATATCTATCTATATAAAAGGCTATGATGACAAGTCACACCATTTGTCCAGTAAACTAACCACGCCATCTAGGAAGGAAATTTGAACCGCCATTTAACATTTCAATCATATATAATATATGGAGTATTTATTTTAAATTCTGACAATTTCGTGATACTTCTTGGATATGTTTTTCTAGGTACCTACCAAATAGGCATAAATAATTCTGTATTCTTGATAAGAAGTTTAAACGGAGATAATAGAAATGGGTTTTTTACCAGGAGATTCTGATTATAAAGTAAAGCCATTTTTAAGAAGTCCAGTAAACAATACAATTTCTATAATGAATTTCACATTAGAACCAGATACGTAACATAACTTTTTGTGTATGGAAGAGAAGGTTTATGTACTATTTCATCCAGTGGAAGTGGCTGTAAGGTTGAAAAGATTCAACAATTTGGTGATTGGTAAAAAACATAATACAAAACTCGAGTTTCCAAACAAATAAATTGCCAAACTAGAATGACGCTGGTTTTATACGTAGGTCGATTATATAAGACGACTTTACGCAAAAAGTTCAGCGTCCCTCCAAAAGTTATTTGTTATGAAAGTTGTACAACAGATTAAAATATTATTCTGCTTTTCTTCCTAGCCTTAAATAGTAAAAAAGACAGAAAAAATTAAGTAAAGTGATCGTAAATGCAATTAATTGGATCCCCCGTTACATGGTGATGGGCAAAATCACTAGTTATAAAATAATCACGAAAAATATAAATACTTGCCTTCAAGTTTCTTCCATAGTAAATGCGGTATCATGAACATGAGACCTTGGAAGAACAACACGAAAGGAACCCATTGGTAGTACGCGTGTCGTACTATGGGTTCATTCGAGTCGATACCATACGGACCAACGCCAGGATGAGCCAAATTACCAGTGTCTAACAATTGAGCATTCAATTCTTTTGCCTGGAAAAATAAAATAACAATTATATGAAAATAGTTCAACAAGAAATATTAAAGAAAACACAGAACATGCTGTAAGTTGATCCAGTTCTCGGAATTGACAACATTGTGACATGCACAGAGATTGTGTAGCAATAAAAAGGTTATTTACTACCTAAATTTTGGTAAATAATTCAAAACAAAGACTGTAGTGCTTCTTCCAGGGAGCCAGTTGTTTGTTTTTTTTTGTTTTTGGAAGAATCCAATCTAGCCTCCTTTGCCAGAGTTGTCACGACATTTATGATCTACTACAGCTCTGTTTCAGATGGTCTATATTTCTTGTCAACTTTTTCTCTATTGTCGTATCCCCATTACTGAGGATCATGATTTCTTCCAATATTCCTAAGAACTTTTCTTCATTGGTCTCTATCTTCAGCTGCTCTGAGAGATTTGCAGAATAAGTTTCCAGCTGAATTCATAATTGGGTCAGAATCCATCGTCCTCCTGATCTTCTCCTCGAAACGTTTCCAGAAATAATTAATCTCTTCAAACTTCCATCACCTCTGCAAACCACGTGACCAAAAAATTGCAGACATATTGGGGATACCCTGTTTCTCATCGCGAGTTGGTTCAGAATGAAAAGGTTTGTGTCCTATGAGCTGTCCAAGGTATGCGCCAGCATTCTTCTCCAGCACCACATCTCCAAGGCATTAATTTTTTGGCGCTCGTGTCCGTGAAGAGTTCAAGTCTCTGCCTTGTATAGAAATATTGAGAATACAAGGACATTTACCAGTCTCATATTTTGAGAGATAGATCTGTTATTCCAAACTTTAGTTAGGCAACTCCTAGTTAGGCTTTAGTTAGTTATACTAGGAATTTAAATGAATTGGTTTGAGAACTTCTGATCTAGTCCTACTGTTGCTGTATTGGACTGGTACAGTTTTTTAATAAGTGACACCAAATGCATTAAAATGGACGACAGATTTATCCAGCTTACATAACCAAATGCCTTTTGGTAGTTAACGAAGCATATAATCATAGGTACTTGAAATTCTCTAGACTTTTCAATGAGTTGTCTCAGGTTCGGGATTTGTTCTGGTGTAGCTTTACCCTTGACAAACCCTGCTTGTTTTGAGGTATTTGGTAATGTAGATGGGTTTTTAATCTGTTTTTGATTATTTCTTGTCGTAAGTTTAATTTTATTAGTTTTGGTAGTAACATCCTATACATCTAAATGTATGTATATACATATGTAGATTTTTGTTTATCCTTCACATGATTTCGTTGTCACAATTGAACTTTTTGAAAATCGTTGCTAAAAATTCTCATTAACGTAGAAGAAATATTTATATGAAAAAAGATGCAGAGCAAAAAGCGTACAGAATTATTGACTATCATCTAGTAATGAAAATTACAAACATAGTAAAGTAGTCTAGCAGTAAAATTGAGTTAACAACTAATTCTAGTTACTTTAGATCAAGAATAAAGTGTTTTGTTAATTTGTTGAAAAGAAAAACTTTTGTACATATTAAAACGTGAGAAAGACTTTCCTACAAAACGTGCAAATATTCATGCTGTTCTATAAGAAAAATAATCAAACCTCCAGCAACTTTTCCAGATTTTCTTTGGTGGCGTTAACGTATGGCTGCAAATAAATCATTTTATATAAATGCTAAAAATACATTTGGTCATGTTTTACATAAAAATTAAAAAAGTATCATATTGTGACGGATAGCTGTATTAAACACCAGACTTGGTAATAATTAAGTTTAATTTACACAAAAATATAGTCAAATAAATCACAAACATACTAAAATTTACTTCTATCCAATATGGAAAGTAACAAATTAGGTCCTTTTAAGCTAAACAAACTGGCTGCGGTCCTTGATGCTGGTGAACGAAAACTAAAGGATAGCGGCGTTTGGATGGGTGCGAGGAAGGAAGATCTTTGGTCAATAGCCAAAAATCGGTGAGCGGCTGATCAATATCTGTCAAGGTGAGGTGTCGTATGGAAGTGATCAATCATTACTGGCTCGAAGGGAAAGGCAAGTACGGCGACCTTTGATTAGTACTCAGATACCATGGTGGAAGTTCTTGTCAGATCAATACTCCGGATCGAACTTAGTCCGCTTCGTTCCTTACGCCATTTTATACTTTTTGACGGTATTCTATCTCCGGTGCGCATCGATAGTAGTGCTCGGTTGTTCGTGGTAGTGCCGATACACAGAGAGAAAGAAATAGCTAGCTGTTGGTAGCAGGGTTAAGATTATATTCTTTATTAACGAATTGTTTCGGTCAGCTACTCAGTAAAATACCTATAAGAAACTAATGAACTAATCGTAGAGATTATGTTCAACGAATTAATGAACTAACTATCTACGGATTTGATCTTCTTTTGTAACTAGTACTCTAACCAGTGCATTTAATGAGTTAATGATTTTTATAACAGTAATGGTGGGCGGACAGTAATGGGCGGACGACAACTTACTGGAGGCACATTGAAAAACAGACAGAGTCATGTGTACATAAAAAGAATAGAAGAATGACTTGCCACAGCTTGGTGATAGAACGAGTGAAGATCACAGATAAGCGTTTTTATCAATGCAACTATGTACAGCTTCTCTCTTCCTAGAACTTACCTACCTTAAAAAAATGCTTACCCAAGTTGTGTTAGGCTTTTTGAGGCTGCTTCAAGGAATGATATCCTGGGTCATTGGAACTGGTTCGACAATATAACCATAAAACAGAGGAATTAGTCTGTCTTTAGCAACGTTTGGAGCGTATTATTTTGATTTATATGTAAAACGTGATAGAGATCTTCCTCTTTAGTCTCGGTTTTCTATTTGTAGCGACAAGAATTTTCATTTGGTGGTAGTTCTATTTTGATTTTTATATTTTATTAGCAAAGCTTCTAGAGTTTTTGAGATCAAAGAAAACCAATAGATTATATAACAATATAGTGCTTAGTAATACCTGGTATATAAATAACAATATTGTTTACAACAGCTATTTGAAAATAAAAGTAATATTAAATCTTAAATTGACCCTAAAAAGCATGTGCTTATCCCTACAAACATTTATTGGCTATTGCACAAAGGGTTAATGCAGTACAATCGATTTTTTATTAACTGTAACAGATCTATTTTTGCTTAAACGATACAATACAGAACATAGGGTATTCATTCATTTTAAATTTTAACAAAACCACCACAAAAACTTGGTAATATTAACATGTTCAACCTTAAAATCATTTTATCATCACTAATTGGTGCTGAATCATAGTTCTCTGCATTTCTAGTTGTAAGTAACGAATCGAATAATATTGTAGGCAGTCCTGCTCAATATAATTAGTCGAAAAGAAGTACCACCCTCTTCAAATCCGCTAATGGAATTATTAGTACATAGAGTAGGTGGATATATAATAGATATTTGTGGTACTGGTTAAAGAAACTGGTTTAAAGTGATTTAATGAAACAATATTGTACAATTTTGAGATCAAAAGAATAATTCAAAATGTAATTTATACAATTTTTGTCATCGTTGTGATCCAGTTGCAAAAATGTGTATTGTTTTGAGAAAAAAGTCTCTTTTTTTAAATGTTGGTCGTTTTTGTACAATTTCTTTTTTTAAATGCACAAATACCAGGAAAATAAGGTTTTTTTCGTGACACTGAACTGGCCAGGCAAATGACAGTTGTTTTTAGCAGTATAGACCTCTGTAATTAGAACCTATATGTTTCCTGCAGTCGATTTTTTTAGAATTAATTAGTAGTTAACAAATTAAGGTCAAAAAACGGTAAATTTTCACTTTTTTCGTTTATCAGCAAAAAGTGAAGCATTTGAAACAAGTTTAAGAGTAATTAAACTTGTAAGTCGTATAAAAACCTTCAAAATGGCGTTTTTTAATGTTTTTATCGTTATTTGTTGCTTAGAAAGTTTTAAAATAAGTAAGAAGTTTCGGTTTTTTATATATATTACAACCTTTTTTAAATATTAACTTGGAAATCTCATATTATACAAAATGTTGGGTCTTTTAGTGCTTTAAAGTATGGTCAAAGTTTCACAGCGATCGGTCAAATTTGTAGTATGTAGTTTAAAATATCTTTAAAAATACTTACCACTGTGAAGGTCGTCGTAAAGAAACAAAATGTGTTCATGACATGTTCCGGTACACCCCCATCCGCTATACATCGTATATGTTCTCCAATATACTGCCTGACGTTACCAAAATAGAAGATATTATAAAAATATAAACCGTTGCCTTGTAATGTAGCCTAAACACCCAATTGTCGATAATATATTGCTGGGGTTTTAACTTGAAGTTCTTCTGGAGTCCCTCAAAGGTCTTCAACATCGTGAAAACCTAGAACTAAAAAAATAATTGTTAAAAAACTATTGTTGCAGTTGGTGATGCAATTTCAAAAATTTGATGTTGTAAAGTTAAAGTAATGTTTAGGCACGACTAGAGAGTAGAAAGGGTTGTAAAACAGTCAATTGAAAAATAAATAAACATAAGAGTAACATAATAACATAAACATAATGGCTAAACATAAACGTTTACAGATAGAGCATGAAAAATTGAGATTAATTATTAAGACTGTCCAAAGCCTTACAGAACTAAAATATTTTGTGTAAAAATTCATACTTTTTTCTACAAATTTCTACATATTATATTCTAAAATTCCTCGTGCAACCACATAGTGAAAGAGCTCCTTTATATAAATGCTCCTTTATTGCGCATATTTAAAGCTCTTATTCATATATGCGTATGTATTGTCTTTATTGTGAACTCTACTACAAAGCCGACACAGCATTTGTGCGATTTTGAATAAAAAAAAGAGTTATTTAATCATTATACAAAAACAAAAAAATCGCATAAGTAAAAATATGATATGAAAGAATTAAAACGACAGAGGATGTAAGACAGGAAGAAAACTTTAAGTTCTTTATTTTTACGTTTATGAATAACATTAAAAAAACTAAGCGATTACATATAAAGTACCGAAACCTACAAACAGTGATATCAGACTGCGTGTTTGCAGATGACAGAAAGCAGATGCAGATGACAGTTATCATTAACAGAAAAAGGGTTCGAAAGAAGTGTAACAATCTGGATATTTTCTAGAGAATGTTTAGCCGAAGCTGTAGTGTTTAATTTGTTAGTTTGTACACTACGTTTGTGTACAACAAACCTTCTTTGCAGATATCGGCGTGTTTGCCCAATATGTGTTGAGTTACAGTCTTTACAATTCATTTTATAAACAAAATCCGACTGATGATCTTTATTAACATTGGGTTTAAAATTACCGCTTTACTGCTGCAAACTTTTGTTTTTTAACTACTTATTTATGTTTATTTAACACTTTTTAGTAAATTTCGAAATGCCAAAACTATTAAAAATAGCCAAATATAAAAAGGAAAAGGCAGTAGAGCAACCTTAAGTATTCTTATTGCTGCAGCCAACCTTTTAGTTACTAATTAAGAACGCCCAGAACGGAGGTGGTGGAGGTGGTGAAGGAACATTCGTAAAAAGTGAAACCACATCGAAGCTAACTAACAAATGTCCCGGGTCAAGAATCACATCATTTTTTACGTTCGATGAAGTGGCTTGCATTCTTGACGTAAGAATCCGCTTCTTCTGCATATGGTTGTAGCTGTTCAGTAAGAAATTTTGCCAGTGGTTGTAGAGGAGATCCGATAGAACTAACTATTGTCGCAATGGTAATTGGCTTTTGTTACTTTTTCTAGATATGTTGTTGGGTCCGACGAGATTCTTTGGGTGTCGTTTATTTTTGCTTTGTAGTCTTGAATATTCTTTACCACCTTAGCATTGCCTGTGTCAGCTGAGAGCACAATGCCTTTATTGTTCTTTAAATTATGTAAGGCAACTTTTTCTTCGTGAGATAATTTTTTTTTAGTGGTTTGGCTGTTCTTAATATTTTTGATACATATTGGCGTATAATCTCGGCTGTTTCTGTGGGAGTTTAGTAGTAGTAGTCTCAACCTCGGTACTGATATTTTCTGCGGAAATTCGTGCAGGCGCAAAAGCAAAATTGAAACCTTTTGAGAGAAATAAACTAACTTGTTTGTTTCTGTTTGTGGTTTTTCTTTCTTCTTTGGCTGCTATTGTAGTACCAAATTTTTGCACGAAAGTTTGTAAGTTTATCAAAAAAATTGCAGTGTTGATGAATTGTATGACTTAGCTTAAGGTGCAATTCTAATGACATTTTGTCTATGACTCGTTTGGTATCATGGGTCGCTTGTTTAATAAGCGCTAGGCTTGCTCTTCTTAAAATGTTCTTAATATACTTATATTAATAATATATATATATATATATATATATATATATATATATATATATATATATGTATTAACAACATAACATATATAACCCATACTACAAATATTAAAAATTTATGGTATAAAAAGTCAGTCATTCATGTGAACTGTATTATCGGTAGTACAATACCGTTAAAAAATTTCTAAATAAATTATCGTCAATGCTAAAATAAATTAGCAACCTTCATTTTAACACACATATCAGTAAAAGGAGTGTCTCAGTGAATTGAAAAAGCCAATATAAAATAGGGAAATAATGTAATCGATTACAATCACGGTATATAAGTCTATCTTTTTGTTTTATGTTGCAATATGGTTAAATATTTATTGTTAAATGTCAACAATTTGTGGCATACGTAGTATATGACTAAAAATATTTGTGTTTTGCTAAGCTTGTTGTACAATCACCATTTAGCAAAACAAAAACTTTTGGTAAAATTTTTGACCCACTTCTGAATTACAGATCTTTTAAGAGAATGAAGCTGATCCAAAAACAAAGAGTGAAATCATTAGAAACAACGTTCACTGAAGTCGAAACGTCAAATAAAAATTAATTTCAAATTAAAATTTTGGCTGTATTTGGCTGTATGCAAGGAAATAGCTTAAGAACAATATATTTTGGATTTCAGTAAAATGGATTCCAAAAGGTCACTGACAGAAAAAGAACTGAAAGAAGAGGCTGAGCGTATTATGAATGGTGAAGACTTTGACTCAGATACCTTCGAAGACAGTGACTTTGACTCAGATCCCTTCAGTGGCAGTGAATGGGAAGAATATAATCTGGAGATAGATAATTCGGATATTGAAAAAGTTTCTACGTCGATATCTGGAAAATCAAAGTATGTAGGGATCCCAACAAAAAAAGTTGTAAGGGTAAGAATGGTCATAAGTGGTTGACCGAAGTTTCCCATAAATCAATAAGGACAGCTGCAAGGAATTTTATTCACTTCGTATCAGGTCCCAGAGGCACCGCTAAAAACTGTAATACTTTTAATGAACACTTCTTACATTTCTTTCCAAACATGCTACTTGAAATTATTTTGCAACATACAATTGCAGAAATTGTAAGACAAGTTGAGAAACATAATAATAAAGAAAATGTGTCTCAAATTTCAATTGAAGAATTAAGAGCCGTACTTGCAATTCTTGTTTTTCATTTTTACATTTCTATTAAATTGTATAAGATGTGACGAAAAGCAAACAAGGCAAGAGAGACAAGTAAATGATCATTTGACTCATATCCGCGAAATATGGGATATTTTCATTGAACTATGCAGCACTTCACTTACTCCATCATCATATTTACAATTGATGAGCATATTGTTTGTTATGTTTTGTGATTGCTCCAGTAGATATATGTTGGATGCAAGTCCTTATTTGGGAAAGAAAACTAATACTAATGGTTTGTTTCTAGCAGAGCATTATGTCAAATAACTAACAAAATCTGTCCATGGATCAAATCGGAAATTGGAAAAAAAAATGGAAGAGCCATATAAATTAACAGCATTAGGTACTCTTCGCAAAAACAAAAAAGAAATTCCCACAGTTACAAGAGAAGCTCTCTTTGCCTTAAACGTCCTAACACAGAGATATCTAAATGTTAACCAAGAGATACACGCCTGCTTTATAGACTTTAAAAAGGCCTTTGACAAAGTACGCCACAATCAACTCAAAGAAATCCTGGAAGGTAAGAATATCGACACAGAGACATGCAAATAATAATAAACGTGTACTGGAATCAGCGAGCTAATATAAAAATAGAAGACCAAACATCGGACGAAAGAGAAATACGTAGAGGAGTACGACAGGGTTGTATATTGTCACCGCTCTTGTTTAATATCTACAGCGAACAAATATGCCAAGAAGCTCACATACAAACGAAGGAATAATAGTCAATGGAGAAGTTATCAATACCATTCGATATGCTGACGATACTGTGATAATAGCAAGAACAGCGGAAGATCTACAACATCTAGTTGAAAGTATGAATGAGATATGTCATAACTACGGCATAAGGATGAACGTCAAAAAAACCAAATATATTACCTTCAGTAAGAATACAATACATGCCACTAGTATCGCAATAAACGGTACCCAACGCGAAAAAGTAAGCGAAATACAAATACTTGGGAACCCTCATCAATAAAACAGGTGACCAAAATCACGAGATAAAAAGAAGTATTGAAATTGCCAGGTCTCCCTTTACAAAAATGAAAAAATTATTTTGTAATCGTGATATTAGTATTTATCTACGAACTATAGTTTATTTTTTATGAACGAGAGAGTAATTAGCATAATTTTAACTGTATCCCCGACCACTCCATGGGCGTGCTCAAGATTAATTGAAAAATTACTTTGAATAATTGTAAAAAATAAATGAATTATTTCAGTGTTATAAAGTGTTATGTGTATGTAAACAAAAGTGACCTCTTTTATCACACACTATAGTAGAACTCACTGGCCTACATTAAAAAGGGTTTTAGAAAATTCACATTTTTTTTTAATTTTTAAAAATTACAAAAGAGAAAAAGAGTTTTTAAAACCGTCTAAGGTATGTTAAATAGATGAATAGAAATATTAATATAAAACTTACAGCTACTTGTTACAAATCCAAATCAGATTCAGAAGATGAACTTTCAGAACCAAGATTTATAATAACTGGCTCGATCATTTTATCAGTAATATTGTCCAGCTTCCACATTTTTTCCTCTTCTTTAATAGTGTGATCTACTGCCTTTTCCAGTTTTTCAGTTTTACATTATTTACAGCCTCCAAAAACAACTGTTTAACATTATGAATTTTAAAAGTGGTATTTTTTCTTGAAACTTCACTCTTTATCTGTGCCCATACCAGTTCAATCGGGTTTAATTCACAATGATATGGTGGGGATCTAAGTACTGTCATTCCACGATTTTTGGCAATTTCATCAATTTCGTATTTTTTAAATTTTCTTTATGAAGGGCACACAACGAATAAAGTTCCTTTCTTATAGATCCGGGATGGTACGTAATATT